GATGAAGTCCGGGTTCGGGATGTTGTTGAGCTTGGCGATGTCGCAGATGCCCGAGTTGAAGAGGCGCGCGATCTGACCGAGGGTGTCGCCCTTGATGACCGTCAGGGTGATTGTGCGGTTGGCGTTGTTGACGGGGCCGCCGCCGCCGGGGGGCGCGCTCGTCAGCGGCGGGGGAGGCGTCGCGGCTTGTCTTCGCGTCGGGGGCGGCTCCGTGGGGGTGGTCGCCTGGCGGGGATAGAACATGTGCGTGAGGCCGCGGGTGATGAGGCCCCGGGGCTCGGACTGGAGTTGGGTGGTGTCGGATGTGGGCGTGGCTTGCGCGAGGCCTGAGAGGCCGGCGAGGGCCAGGCAAAGGATTGAAGATCGCATAGTTGCTGCGAGTTTGTGGTGATAGTGTGGAGGTGGAGATTGCTGGTGTAAGTGAGTGAATGGCCGGAGGCTTGAATAGAGATCTTTTCACACACTGAAAGACGTGGGATGCCGGGGAGTTAAGGAACCAAAAGAATGTCCGATACCAGGGAAACTGTGGTTTAGAATGAATGGCGTGGTCCTGGGAGACGTGAGACGATTCCCCCCTCGTCTGTCAAGACAACTTTATATCGCACATATTACCACCATCGCCTTCACTCGTAAAGTGGCCGGCCGTCCCTTCGAGACAAGGCCAGACAGCCCCGTCGTCGCAGACGGAAATGCGATTGGCCGGCTATTGGGGTTCGAGGTTGACGTGCCCATCCCGGCAGCAGAAAGACCATGTCATATCCACCTCAATGTGACCTGCTTAACAGTCACTAAGCCCTGTCGCCCTACGAACCCCCGCGGCGGTAGAAGAGAGACCAGCGGGCGCTAGCGACATTCTTCCTGAAGAGACAACGTGGTAGCCATTCTGAGAACCGCAACGTGAGCAGGCCGTCCGCCCACGCCGAAGATAGCGTGTGGTAAAGCTAAAAATATGGGGTTGGGATGGACTGAAACGGCAGCGAGCGCGGGGTCGATTGGCTGGTTTGTGTTGGTTGAGTCAGTTGTCGGTAGTTGGTTGTTGCACTTGTTGCAGAGTTGACAAGGAAGGGGCGCCGAAGATGGGACAGAGGGCCCAGCAACTTGAGACGGAGCCCACCTGTTCCCAGACAGTCGCACACATACTTTTTGAAAGTTTATCACGAACCACGACGTGGTGAAGGAGCTCTCCGCCGCCCATCGCGAGTCATATTTTGCGCGAAAGGCTCGCGCAAGAGGCCTGACTTGGCGCGGGAAGCTCAGGCTCCCGGATGCAGGAGTTCGAACACCATCCACTCAAGGAGGTGATGCCCAACACAAATCGTCGACGAAGTGAAACGGATTCTACGGATCTCCCTGCTTGTCAAAGTCTTTTGGCCGGCTACAAAGAAGTTCACATTTCCTAGGAGATGCTGTCTGCTCGAGGGATGAAGCACTGCCACCCAGTGATCTGGAATGATTTGCGAATGGTCGGACGAACTAGTGCGTTTTGGTGGCCACACCAATCGCGTGTATGATCTTCGACAGGGAAAGCTTCCTACAAACCTAAATCAACCAAGCCACTCTGCTTGGCTGTCGTGGAGCCCAAAGTCTCTAATTCTTATCTGTGTTGCCAAGTTGTAGTCAATCTGGTGATAAAGGCTATGCTCAGCTCATGAGGTATCCATATTGCTGAAACTGGTGACAAAAGACATCTCGAAGATTCTTACAATTCGAGTTCGACTCGGCGACTGCGCCTTCCGGTATTTCGGCAAGGAAAGCGGGGATGTGATTGACAGCCTGCCAGGCCAGATCTCAAGTGATTGATTGCACTGAGGGAAGAATACGACGCTAGCAGATACTTGCGCTTGACATGCGTTGCTTGAGCTTGATCAGCATTTATACCGGGCACACTATCATTTTCTGTGCTTGGGGTGAAATGTCGGTAAACATGAAGCTTTTTATGTTACGAGAGACTGTGCAGGTTGAGTTCTCATCTGCCTTCTGATTTTCGTGCAATAAATTAGCTGAGGTCTCATTTCGATCCGTCTTGGTGACGCTATGGCTGTGATGCTAGTTGCTGCTGCGAACAATTTTCCGCTCAACCTCTAGCAAGGACCCAATCGTCATCATAATAGCCATAAAGTTTTCCATCATCACTCGCTTTAAGCCTACTCAAAGCCTTCTGTGTAGGATCTATACATGTAGGCAACCAACTATAGAGCTGCTGAGCTTTATTGGAGAAATCTTAGCCAGTTAGGCAATTCTGTCATAGCGGTTATCTTCAAGTTTGCATCTGCATACAGCGCCGTGGCATCATATGTTTTTATCTAGAACGCATCAATTTATTCGTGGCTACCAATCGTACATATACACGTCAGTGGCATTTTGAAGTGGTCTTTGGCAGACCTAGCTCGCTATGTACACCATTGTAGTAGCTACCGACTGCCTTCCTTCGGCGATTGGTTGCCTCCTGTATGTCTACGTAACATGTTGGACTTGGGATGTTGTGGGCGTCCTTTTCTGGCCCATGTTGGCAGTGTTCTGTTTTAGCGGTCGCCTTGAATGGACCAAGTGGCTAACAAAACGCATAGAGGCCAACCAACGTTACATGAGGCAACCCAAGGTGCAGCCAAAGCCCGAAGACGGTTGGTTGGTTGGTTGGTGCAGGAATGCAGGTAATTAAAGGCCATTATTTAGGCCACGTCAACGGCCATTATGCAGGCGCGGCTTGGAATCTTTCACGGCTTTGCCGTACTTGGAAGAAACACAATTGGAAGCTGGAGGCCGCCGACCACCACTTGACAGCATAAATAAGCAAAGCATTTTCAATTTAGAATCCGTCTTTAGCGGCGTTGATCAGCAGCTTTCCCGGCTCTCTTGAATTGAATATCGGCACTTCCATCTGTACCACGTATGCGCACATCGGTAAAGATGCACACTTACGTGATCGCCCAAGAACCAGATGTCGATCTCATACTTCTGCGTGACAACGAAGAATTGGACGAAGATGAAGAATACTACGACTACTCTGACTCTGAAACACTCTTTAACGACGCATCCTCTATCGCTACATCTTTCTCCAGCGGTTACGATGAAGATAACGAAAACAGCGATGGCGGCGCTTCTCCGCTCCGTCACCGCCCCTCGACCGTCTACGCAGCATACGAAACGACATCTACCATGCCGTTGGCTGTGAGATTTAGAGTCTCTTCTTATGTCTTACGAGAAGCCTCACCGATTATGAAAGAGCTTCTCAGTCGACATGTGGGACGACCTGGTGCTCAAAGCGCTGGCCCGGGATGTCCCCGAGTCCCTCTTCAGAACGATGACCCTGAGGCAATGGTAATTCTGCTACGTATGATTCACCAAGTGCGCCCTGAGGATTCCGTTCGCCATTTGTTTCCGATCACCGATGACGATATCGATGTCTATGACCTCGCTGCAATGGCACTCATAGTGGACAAATACCGAATGAATTCAACGGTCGAGGACCAATTACAAGATTCGATCGATAGGCTGTGGACCAAATTTGACAGGTCTTCTTCTGATGAAGCTCTAGCTTGGACTTGGATATCTTGGGCCTTTGAGCTTACAGATCATTTCTCTGAAGCGACATTGTGTCTGACGCAGACCATGGAGAAATCTTTTGGTGAAGACCAACAACGACCCTTTCCATTGCCGGCGGAGATATTTCGTAAGACTTTTTTTTTCTTTTGGAAAACCAGTGACGAGACACTTGCAGTGGCTGATCATGAATCAAAATAAAGGTACTATCGATAGAAACCGGATGGATGCACTTGCTGAACTATACGTCCTCTTTCACGCGCAGCTCAAGGCCATGGTCAGTCGTGAGGCTGGCTACATTGCCGCTGGCACGGATCAAATTAAGCCCAAATCTACAAGTTACCTTGCAATGTTCAAAGCTGCAAGAGTCGGTTGGTTGTTGATTTGTGGAGAAAGATTGAACTTCTGGCCAGAATGTATCGAAGACTTCGAAGGGATTAGTCACGCTTGCGCCGAAAGAATTATACGTGGAGTAGACACCCCGAGCAAAAAGATTGGCTGGCATCCATCAGATGCCCTCGGAGAGGTGGTGACTGACACGGCAGGAGGCGTTGACTTGACAGGGTATAAGTCACTATTTGATCTGCTCGATTGTCAGAAAGGTCGAGTGTGGGGCTTGGCGCTTGAAACGTTTAAGGGAGATCGGGAACAGTAATGAGATAGCACGGTATTCTAATTAATGGAAAGTAGCATGGATTGGATATGAATTTGTTACAAAACATTTCTTATCCCTACATATAGCGCGTCTTTTAACGCTATACGATAGGTATCCCACCCAAGGAGACATGATTATTCCATGTTAACTCCAAAGCAGTGCAAGCACGACTCTAGTAAACGCTTTTGATGGTCCGTAAGCGCCAGTATTGTTCCTCCTCTTTCCGACCAAATGGCACGGATGTATGCTGGCAATACTTTATCACACCGAAGTTAACAGGTGCTTTCAGCGTCCCAGGTCTTAGAGCTGATCTGTGGTTTGTCTTGACTATTTAGCATTCAAGCACACCAGGCGGCCCGGACCGCTACCCCACAGTGGTTTCGGGTTTCGAGCCAGTCTTTTGGGGACTGTTAGACCTTATTTGGCGCCAGTAGCTCAGGGATGGATTGATAAGTCTGTGACCTACATGTCTTGCTCAGTTGTTATCAATCTAGCGGTAAAAGTTGTGATATTCTCATCAGTTATCAATATCATTGAAACTTTGTGTTGATGAAAGATGTGTTGAAAATTTTGATAGTTCGAGTTAGAATCGGCGAGAGCGCTTTTCGTTATTTTGGTCCCAAGACTTAGAACTATGCATCTCAATCGTCTCGGGGCAAGAAGGTGCACTCGTGAGGCTAGCGGACTTTGGAATTTGCCATGCGATTGCGTGGTCCTCGCAGAGTCAGATCCAACTTTAAGCGCTTACACACATGTGAAGCGTGATTGTGACCACAGCTACACAACATCAACACCCTAGCTAATTCTACACCCGTTTCGGCCCGGGCGTGTAGGCTCTGTACTTATTCAATCCCCCTTGGCCATGGTAGCGCGTCGTGACATGAAGCGACCAGACGTCCATGCCAATTATCCATGCGATGCAGCCCTCAAGCAATCTTTGCTGTTGTTCGTAGTCCTTCATTCTTTCTATTGTAGCCAGAATGTCGGACAAGTCGATAAAGTGGCTGACAAGCTCCCGGGTCTCCGCACCTAGTCGATCCATGGCTTCTTGTACTCCAACATCGAATTCGTTCATCATGATCCTGACACCATTATGGCTGTCCTCGCCCTTGGCCTGCTCTTTGTCGAAACTGTACATGTCATTCTGGTTGATAATAATTTTGAAGCACATGTCCATGAGAGACTGAATCGCAGGCTCCTCCCAAACCTGGCGCCGCACCTCGCACTTGATCAGAAGGAATGCTATGCTCGGATACATGCCAGTCGTTTTCTGACGCACGGCCATGTACTCATTCCGGCTAGGTAGTGCGGGCAGTCTGTGGCGAAGGCCCGCCTCCTCAACGACGCCGTCCAAGTAATCGGCAAACAAGTCCCTAAAGAGTTGCCAAGACTCCTTGGTGCCTACCGCGAGGTAACTCTCGGCAACGTCTTTTGCCATGAGCTCCGTAGATGACAGGTGCTCTGAGGACATTGGCCGGTTGTGGACAGCACCCGAAAAGGAGAACGCGTCCTTGACGATTGAGCACTGCCTTCGGACTTCCTCTTCGTCCCCGGTATCCGTCGTCTCATCTATGACAAAGAATAGAAGCATCACTTGCGCTGCTAGAAGGCACGAAGCCCTGTCCATGTGCGCATAGTTGATGCAAGCTATCTCGGGGAAGCTGGCGGCGATGATCTTGTTGACGAAGCTTGCCGGAATTCCCGAGAAGGACCGCATCCATTTCTCCGCCTCGCTTTTGATGCTTTCGGATTCTGGGTGCAGCTCTACCCGCCAAGGCCATCCTTTCTCGGCCGGCCAGCTGGCCAGAAAGTCGGGGATAGTGACTATGGTATCCATGCCTCTGTTGTTGAATGTCCCTATATCGGGACATATGTTGCCCTTGTAGATTTGAGCCATGGTGAAAGATACTGAAGGTCAGTATAAGAGTTCGATGAAAAGAGGATGAATGAAGACTGTCCACGATTATTGGATTTATCTACGAAGAACAAATGCTACTTTCAGTTACTTGTAGGTAAAACCTCTGGACAGGCTGGGCAATTGAGAACGACCTCACTGGCTATACGAGAGATATCGACTGTATCTGGCCTCACCGCCAATGCCTGAACCTTTGGACATAATCCCGACGATGACAACCTTGGAACCGCCTTCATGTAGCGCTAATGCTCGGGCAGTGCCTAGCATTCTCCTAAGAAGGTATCCATCGTCCGTAAGCTAAACTAATCTTAAGCGATGCACCATAGACTGAATATCCAGCGTTGCATCGAGACGGCAGATATGTCTTCATCAGCCTTCGTCCCGGCGCTAGTGTCAAGTCCAAGGGTGTTTGCTGAATTAAGCGCCATGTGTGATGCTGCGAAGACAGGCATCAGTACGAGCTAAGGCTCCACTGATTATGCTGTTGGTCCTTAGTCAATTCTTCAACGAGTCGACAGAACTTAGGGTCTCCATCGGATAACGAAGTCAGTTCAAAAGAGACTTGATCCGCGTCACAATGGCCGAATTAGGCGCATCTCCGCCTACGATATCACGGAATGATCAGAGCGTCCCACCAACGCGCATGAAAAAACAAGGGTCGGTGACTGGTTCAATCCGACAGAGCTGCAACTCGTAATTGCGTGCGATAAAGACGTTATTTCCCAAGACCGAAGGATCACCGATGACGTAGCCGTGGAATGTACTTTACACCTCTTAACAAGCCCCGACGACTTTTCAGACTTCCCATAAGCCAACCTACAAGATGGAAGCTTCAAATGTAATTACAAGAGTCAATATTGTAGTGTCAATTGGTACAAGATTATCTGGCTCTTTCGGCTGAGACACAGCGCTGCATACCAATCAAACAAGTCAAGCCTGGGGGTCAGGCTTGTCTGTTTGACTAATTTTTCGGCTATAGCTTGTTTGACTTGATAAACTTGATTTGATTTGACAAATTTAGTCATGTGATTCTCTGATCTAAGTAGTGTAGGAGTTTAATGTGTAGTTTTATTTTTAGAGGGGCTAGGTTCGAAACGCGCCGTAGGCGCGACTTTTTACCCCACCTAGCCCCACTTACCTAGGCCCCTAACCTTCCGGGCCCTATAGAGCCTGCCGGCCCGGGCCCTATAGAGCCTGCCGGCCCGGGCCCCATAGAGCCTGCTGGCCCGGGCCCCTAAGGCCCCCCTAAAGCCCCCCCTAAGGCCCGAGACCCACCCGGACCTATTAGGGACTTCCGATTAGCTACGGGGCCGGAAGGACTATTAATCCGGCGCGCCCTCAGCTTGATCAAGTCTATCAAGCTTTTGGCGCCGTGGGCTTGTCTGTTTGAATAGAAAAAAGCCTCTGATTTGATTGGTTGATTGATTGATTGTTTGATTAGGCTTGAACGGGGTGCTGCGCTGCTGAGACATTGTGCATGCATATGTAGCCAATGACAGAACAAGAGATATTTAGATTAGCATCGAATCACCTGGCTTCGCCAAGGGATTCGCCATAGTTGATTGGCATTGTGACCGGTGATGTGGCATTACCGAGTAAGAGAACGGTGCAGATGTATAAGCAGCTAGGCTTCGTGAGGAAATATTAACCTAACTGTTGAAAAGGACGCGATCTACTTTTCCCCAGATGTGATATCAACAACTGAAATATTACACCCACAATTCTATTAACCATGGCACCCCTAGGTTGATTGATTTTCAGAAGCCTCCGCGTCCCAGAATGCATCTCCGAGCGCAAAGCTCTCCTCAGTCTTGCTCAATGTTTGGGACCGTTTGTCCCAGAAATTTGCCACTTCATTGCGATGCTAGTTTTGCACCTTCAACAGTCTTTCTGAATGTAGTGGTCTTCCGCCTGCTTTGGACTGGCCGTCTGACGAGACCAACTCAACACCATGATGACTTACCTTTCAATGTGATTGGGGGCAATGCGACGACAGTGGCCGAGCCACGAAGTTACGTGGCATAACAGATCACTCGAGCAATATGTATCTAGTTCTTTAGAAACATGTAAGCCGGAGTTGTCGGGATCGCCACAGAGGGAGCTTGCTGGGGTTGCAAAACATACGCTCATCACACCGCCAAGACCTTCACAAACCATAGAGCAGTCCTTTCTTCTCCAAATTATCAGCGGAAAACAAATTTGCCTAAGGCTACGTCTAAATGATGTCTCCTTTCCTGTGGCAAATTGCTTGGATCGTGCCATGGAGTGTGCGGCTAAGCCCCAGTAACGGTCCATATGACTGTCGCTGAGAGCCTCACCGAATGGCCTAGATCAGTCCCAAAAGCTCCGTCGTGCTGAATTTGTTGGCTAGTCTGCCTTACATCCTAAGAAATGCTCCATACTTTGCAATAGTCACCTCATGCTCAAAGACTTACGATATTACTATTGAAGTCAACCCATTTACCCTTTGATCTTGTGCAACTTTTCTGCCTGCACTTAGCAAGAAAAACAAGAATAGTCCACCAACCCTTCTTCCGGGATTACGCACCTTGGCAATTCCATTTCTAAGAAACAAGGGTTTCCTCGGCACTTTTCTCTTGTAAGACTCCGTTAACAGCGTTGATACGCATGACACATGTATTCACGCAAGGCAGGCCTCAAACGACAAGTTTGGAAAATTCATAACAGTAGGAGTCGAAAGCACCCCTCAGGACACAAACAAATCAAGCGCCATGAATCTTCTTCTCAAGCTAGCAGAGGCCCTCGGATCCGAGACTCTGAGGAGTCTGCACGACCAGGATCCTTCTGAAATCTTGGACAAAGTCGGCGAAACTATAACGAATTTCATTTTCTCGTAAATTGTAATAGGTATTCAGAGGCGGTGAATCACTCTTTTGTCAACATTCGTTAGGGAAGATGCGCTCTATCATCTGATGACTGATAGTGATGCGCATTAAGGGGGGCCATGTATGAGCTTTAGTGGAATAGATAGGATGGAGTTAGCGCCAGTTTTTACCACATCAACTGCTTTTCGAACAATCTCAAGTACTGTGACCTCGACGCAACCGTGTTAGATGTTCAGAGGGTTAGAATTTTAAATAACTCTTGACTTTATTTAGCCTCGGCTTGAAATGAGTCAGTGAACATTATCCCTAGTCATTTTGGACCACCACACTCAGCCGGCTCGGCCCGCCCCCCACAGACCCCGTTTCCGGGTGGAAATCCCGGACGAATCTTTGCCTCATGCATGATCACTCTAGTCAGTTAAGTCAACCTGGCTTCAGTAGCTTCGTCATTTACTCGTAGATAAGGTACCATCCTGCAGCCCTCGTCTGATCCAGTATATGTCCGTTTAACCTGTCAAAATCTGTCTCGCTCAATCCATGCATGAACAAGCAACTTTATATTGTCTCTCACACTCCGCACGTTTTCACATGCATCTTTCAGAACCGAAGCTGATTTGACAATATGTATTTCGCTATTCTGCTTATACAGGCGATCTACCCTTTCCAATAGTCTAGTCGGAGTCATCGCCGAGCTGCTCGTCCTCACCACCCGTGGCACCAGCAAAGGCCGCCGTCGCCTTGCCGAAAGCAGCGGCACGTCTCTTCTCCAAAGCCTCAGCCTCACCCTTAATGTCGGCCGGGGCCTTGGAAACCATGACCTGGGACAGCTCCTTGCTGGCCACCTCAGTCTTCTCGACGTTCTTCTTGACCAAGCCGCCGACCTTGAGCTTGTCAAACTGAGCCTGGTTGGCGACCATGGAGTTCAGTTGGGTCTCGGTCAGATCCACAACGGTGCTCATCTGGTTGAGGAGCTTCTTGGCCTCATCGTCGGTAGGGGTGAAGCTCTGTTCAAATGTCAGGAGCGCGTCTCACAGAGTGGGGTAAGGTTCAGTAAGCACTCACTCCGTAGTCCTTAATGCCCTTCTTGATGGTGTTGCAGATCGAGTTGGACTTGGTGCCCAGCTTGATGGCGTCCTTGTAGTTCAAATCGGCGCCCTTGGCGATGATCTTGTTGGACTTCGTGACCTTGCGCTCAATGTCGCTCAAGCTCTTGGAGATATCGGCGAAAGACATTATGGCGAATGGGATTGTTTGTTGGTGTTACTTTAGATAATAGTGATTGATTCGATGTTGTTGTTTAGACTGCGTGGTGATGATGATCCAAAACGATGTGTAGCCGTGGTGTTGAAGGCCCTTTTATCATTCATGAAAACAAAACATCGTGATTCACATGCTGTCTGATGCCTCGGATGACTTACACCACTTGGCCGCCAAACACAAAGCTGTCCCCTAGAGCATGAACGACCCAAGTCTGGGGTAGCCCTGAGCTATGACGTGTTCCCAGAGCCGCAGCTTCAGGCGCCCGGCACTTCGCGGAGCTGAGGCCAGGGTCCGGCCACGAAACGTGAAACAATGCGGAGGCCGCCCAGCGATCCTCCGCAGCACATCGTCCGCAGAGCAGCCTCCACTGGCTGGTGCTCAAAGGGGTCCAGCCCTTCGGTTTCCGAAAGAAAAGCCAATTCGAGATGGGACCCGAAAAACAGGTTACGTGCCAATGATCACCCAGAGCAGCTTCGAGAATAGAGACAACCTTCCCGAACATAATCATGCACAACAACTGTGATGTGCATTTCTGACAGGGAAGACGCAGGGCATGGATTCGCCGACCACTCGGCCGGCGGTCGATATGCATCGGTGCCATTGCGCACGATCGCATCATTAGTTGTTTACAGTTATTGGAAATGATCCCCATACAAAGCGTTACCCCGCTAATGCTGGGGAAGCTGAGAGAGAGAAACCCTCCTTCCCTGGTAAACGCCCAGCATTGTTGTTTTGGCGGGCATTGTTGAGCTACCGTTCTTGCTCGGATAGTTTCCTTGGCTGGGGCGGGGCGGATACGTTTCTGCTCTGTAACCATGGTTTTACTGCCTCGGCCTGGCGGTGCTGCTTCACGTGGCTGCGCGACACCAGCCTCAA